TGAGAGGCTTTAGATAGCTAACCTTACTCACGTCAAAAAACTTTAAGAAGTGAGAGTTCCAAAAAACAGTAGCTATACAACAGGTATGATACTTGGGCAAAGCATGCATGTGCTTTCTTAGGGACTCTAAGGAGGAAAAATGGTCCAAGCTCTATTTTTTTTTTCCTTTTCTGTCACTTAAAAACAAAAAAACAATTCAGCTCTGTCACTAGAGAACTTTCAGAGTCACAGAGCCTATGTGAATGTTCAAAATTTCTCTCTTGATATAGCTAAAGGAATGTTGTTGTTGTTAGTTGCTGTCGAATTGATTCTGACTCATGGCGACCCCATGCGTGAAGAGTAAAACTGCTTCCTAGGGTTTTCAAGGCTGTGACCTCTCAGAAACAGATCTCCAGGCCTGTCTTCCAAAGTGTCTCTGGCTGGGTTCGAACCACCAACCTTTCGGCTAGCAGTCAAGTGCTTAACTGTTTGCGCCACACAGAACTCCTTTTACAGGTATATCTGTTGTCATCAAGTCAATTCTGACTTACAGTTACCCTATAGTACAGAGGAGAACTGCCCCATAGGGTTTCCAAGGCTGTAATCTTTATGAATGGGAGAAGGAGTAGCAGTCTGCTTCCATAAAGATTAGTCTTGGAAACCCCATGGGGCAGTTGTACCCTGTCCTATAGGGTTGCTACCAGTCAGAATCCACTCAACGGCAACAGGTTTGGTTTGGCTTTTGGTAATCTTTATGAAAGCAGACTGCCACATCTTTCTCCCATGGAGCAGCTGGTGGGTTCGAACTGCTGACCTTTCGGTTAGCAGCCAAGTGCTTAACCACTGCAACACCAAGGCATCTTATCTGTAGGAACACTGGCCAATACAAAAAGCTTGGTACTTTCACATAAAGAACTATTTTTCCAGCATGATTATACACAGCGGCATTTATTCAACTACCTCGTACCTTGTTCCTCTAAACTCACTCAGGTTAAAGGGTATAACTTAACCCTTCCAACTCTAACACTCTCCTGAGCATAGACTACAACTAAGCTACATCTAATATACACTTATTGAAGAGAATAATATTATTGGTCAGCTAATATGTTAGCATGAAGCACTATGGCTCTCTTAGAGATTTCTAGTATTAAAAAGTATAATTTTTCAATTAATGTAATATAGTAAGAGTCCCTATCTGTATTAAATCAAATGCAAGCTATGCAATAATTATTACTTAAGATAAATGCAGTTGTAGAAGTCATCTGAACTACTAAGATTAAAAAAGGAGTTGTGTGTGTGAGAGAGATCACAGAAACACATATGTATTTAATTCTTAGCAAGCACAGGAGTTTCTTCTTTCTTCCTGATTAATGAAGTCTTGGCCACAATTCTTCAATTTTAACTTTCAAACTTCACATTTAAATCTTATTATTCAGTAAGAGCAGTGTATGACTCATAAACGTTTCATTTAGTTAAACTTCTCTGAGATTAATCCAGTCTTAAAAGCATGTTGCTTTCTATTTTTCTGACACAAACTATAGCTGTAAAGACAGACAATAGCTTTACAGATCATAAATCAATACTCTTTCAGGGCTCAATCTTACACTGGCAAAAACTAATTTACTTGCTACCACTGGTTTCAAAACAAATCCAAAAGTTTTGATAGTTGTAGACAACAGCAAGCAAACCAAAGTGACTGATAAAAAAGATGATACTAGGTAGCATTAGGAATACATTTACAAGAGATTGCCAAACCCTTATATTATAACAAAAAAGAATAGAAACCCAGAATTCATTCAAACAAGCTATGTTTATAAAAGCTGCACATATTATTTATGCAAGTCTGAAGCTAAGAGGTGTTTCTGATGATGCCAATGGTGCCACTGAACAACTTTCATAGCCTTGGATAATTTCAGCAGTTGTCATCATAATTCTTTTTGTTTATTACAGTCACTTAAAAACATCTGAGGAATGAAATAATACAAAATGAGACTCTTCTGCCCAAACCAAATTTTATACCCGGGATTCTGTTTTTTCATTTGTGAAAGTAACAAATTTCTCCATAAAATCTTTGGATCACCATTTTCCTACCTCTAAAATGTGGACATTTAAGAAACAGCTCTATTTGTTTTGCTTCTTGTGACTAAAGTACATTACTACAGGAAAAAATAACACAAATAGGGGTGCTCATATTTTTTTTAGAAAATGGAATTATTTTTACTGTACTCATTACTATATATGGTCAAGTCTCAATTACTTGTTTTATACTGTGGACAAAATATAAACGTAATACACATACATATATACAAAACACAGCATGTGTTTTGTTTGTGCATTTGCTTAGATGTGGGTTACAAGATCATGGGTTGCATATCCACGTTCCTAAATTGCTATAGTTTAATACTGCATAGCATAAACTGTTCACACTATAACTAATGGTAGTTCATAAGTGAACTGGGTGGAATGTGAAAAAAAATGAAGACAATCAACTTACTCCAGCTATAACCTAAATCATTAAGTGACTGAACTATGGGGAAAGATACTCTCTTTA